ATTCTGAGAGTAAAGACAGAATTCGGAGAAAAAAAAAACTATAATTCTGAGAAATTAGTCATTCTGAGAAAAAAAATGGAATTCTGAAAAATTTGTAAGAGTTTTAAGATTGAAGTCAGAATTTTTAGAAATTAAAATTCAGAGAAAAAAAAAACTAAACTTTCAAGAAATTAGTCAGCATTTTGAGATTAAAATCAGAATTCTAAAAAAAAAAAAAAACTAGAATTCTTAGAAATTAGTCAGAATTCCGAGATTAAAGTCAGAATTCTGAGAACAAAATATAATTCTGAGAATTTAGACAGAATTCTGAGATTAAAGTCAGAATTCTGCGAGAAAAAAATAGAATTCTAAGAAATTATTAAGAATTCTGAGAAATTAGTCATTCTGCGGAAAAAAATGGAATTCTGAGAAATTAGAGTTTTGAGATTAAAGTCAGAATTCAAGTGAAAAAGTCAGAATTCTGATTTTTTTTTCTCCAACTCAAATAAAATAAAAAATCAGTTAACTTTTTTAATTCTTTCCGGTGGCCCTAATTCTCTTCCATAGTTAACTATATTCACTGTTCATTAATGAGCTGATCTCAAGTTGCCTTGACACATAAATTAGTTTGGGATTAACATGTGTAGCTTCATATATTCCATGTTAACTGGTAGAGAGGAGTTTATGGCAGCTTCTTATTAAACCAACAGTAATGATGAACGTTTTAAAGCAGATCTATCAGAAAAAGATCTGAAGATATTTTATTAGATGCAAACATTCTTTCTTGTCAGTAAATCTTCCAGCTAGCTCTCAGACAGGCAGATCAACCGAGCTGTGTTTTCACTCAGGCTCCTGATGACCAGATGAAAACTGGCCCAGTTTGCTTCACATGGAAAATGGTTCCCAGTATAACATTTACTGGTTTCCCATTAAAGGAATCCACCGGTTCAGATTTAGGTCAGATCTCAGGAGCTGCAGGCAGCTAATCGCTGAAACTTGAAGCCTAAAAGCATTTTGACTTGAGAGCATTTCAGCTTTTCTTTGTTTTACAACATCCTCTTTTTTTATTGCACTCAGACTTCAAACCTTCCTGCATCTCAAGGTCATTTTTGCTGTTGAAGGTTTTTAGTTTCTGACAGAGATCAAAGACCCGTCGGGTCTGGACTTGGAACAGACGGAACACGGCGCCCCAGGTGGATAGACGCCCTACTTCCCCGCCATGTTTGCAGGTTTCTCCCTCTGAGGTTATCTGTGCTTGTCGGGCGGCTAATGGGAGGCGTTTAATGTCCTCGGTGTGTGAGGACTGGATTAGCTTCCTCCTGCTGTGCAGGATGATCTGACACATATGGGAGGCCTGTCTGCACACAAACACACATCAGCCGTTCTTTCTCCTTGGTTTCACTCCATAAAAAAACGCTTTAATGAGGCTTTAAAAGCAGCTCTGAGTCTGTATCAGTGGAAAGGTGCTTCATAAGGTTCACCACTTCTACAACTTACTGAAATATTTTTCAACTTCCTTATAAAACAAACAGATTTTTTTAAAATGTCTAATTGACTCCATAAAACAATATTATTATGTTGGTGCGTGGTCAGTAGGGGGCACTATAACATATTGATCTCTATATGTAACATAGAAGTTAAACTAACAGCTATTACAAAGACCAGGGAACACGCAGAATAAATCTGGATCAATTGGAACAGAAGCGTACTGATGAACTCTGAGAATTATCAGAAATCTAAATTTAATCTCAAAATTCTGACTTTAATCTCAAAATTCAGACTTTTTTCCCATATTATACTGAAATAAATTGTAAAAATCAGTTAACCTTTTTCATTTTTTTCATGCTCTTCCATAGTTTTTATATACATTTTCTTTAGTTTTATCAAAGTACTGTATAGTTTTTAGACTGTTCTATATTAAGTACTCTAGAAATCTAGAAATAAGTACAAATTTCTCTTCTCTACCCTTAATTTGAGCAGGTAAATGAGATGATTTTCCAATGGAATGAGTATTTTTACTCTTAAAATAAGATAATTTGATAAAATGCACTTGAAATAAGACAATTAAATTGTGTTTTTTTTTATTTTAAATCGAAATTGTCTTGTTCCATTGGCAAAATGTATCTTTTACCTCCTCAATCCAAGAACAAATGCACTTATTTTAATAAATTACTAATCTAGGGTTTGATTTTTTTCCAGTTTATGTTGGTGAATTTTTTGCAGGTGATGTTTTTGCAGCTAAATTTTCAACAGATACATTTTATTTCAGGTGGGCCATGCATCAATTTAAGGGTGCTTCAGCACCCCCAGAAATGCTCTAAAAGCTTATGGCTGTAAGAATGGTTAAAGGTTGGACTCTGCTCTCCATTTGTTCAGCCAAAGCAGTTTTCTGCTGATTCAGGCCGTCTGGCAGCTACACTGAGTTCACTTTAAGCCTGATTACTAAAAGCTGCTATAAATTGTTTAGTTGCAGCAGGTGTCAGGTTGTCCAACCCTTTTTGCTTCCATTTTGTCACAGTTAAAACTCAAACTCCTCCATGGATTCAGCTAATAAAGCTAAAACTGGAAGTCAATACTTTCTAAAACCAGTTTTATTTAACTTCCACCTGTTGGTTTGTTGGGTTTTGTCTCTATAGCTGCTAAACGTCCATTTTAGCTTTTCTTTCCTATCAATGCTGAAGCAAAGCCTCCCCAAAACTTTGTGTTTCATGATGAGTTTAGGATGCTGTGCAATATTAAGTATTTTTTACAGAAATGTAGTTTTTCCTCTTATCCAGAAAGTTAAACTGTGGTTTTGTTCTGAGCAGATGATCCATTGCAGGGTTTGTGTGAAACGAACTGACAGATTCATGGACAGAATGCCAAATAAAGAACTGGTTTCTAGACTGTATCTCACCCGAATCATAGATCTATGCAGCCTCTCTACAGGCATAAACTTCTTGGATGCTTCAGTCTTGGTGGTCGTCCACGTCCAGAGGCGTCAAGTAACAAAGTACAAATACTTCCTAACCTTACTTAAAGTCGTAGGCGAATCGTATTTAAATGTCAAATCATTCTGGCTTAAACATGTATATGTTTTTTTTCCGTTATCTTCTGCAGGCCAGTTAGTTCTACGTCAGCCTGAACACCTAAATTCGTCCAATCATATATCAACGGTCATCTGTCAATCAAATGTTTTCGGTCATAGCATCTTGATTCATATGTCGCAGCTAATATACGCAACGGTTGAAACCAGAATCCTTTCCTTTCCCATTGAGTTGCGTCCCAGTGTTCACGGGGATGGACGTCTGTGTCTTCGGCAGGCGTAGAGCTAACAGAACTGGCAGCGTTGCGAGGCAAGGGCTCAAACATGTACGGCTGGAAGCCTTCTACACCAAAGCAAGCTTCTGCCGCCCTGGCGTCCTCTTCCACAACATCTTCGTCCCCGCTTTCCTCCTCTAAATAAAAAATGGATGACGGAGGAGACTCATCCACGACCTCCGACACTAAACTCTCCTCCTCTTGCATGTTTCCGCTGTCCATAGCGTTCCTTGACAGCGTCGTTTCTAAGTCACCAATTTAGTGCTACTTGGTCCCAATGGAATTTTCATGAGACGGTGTTTGTATGGAGGACCCAAATGCAGAGACCAGTTGGCAGAGGTGAATTAAAGTCGGTTTATTGAAGTTTTCAGATCCAAGAGCAGGAATCAAAGTCCAACAGAAAACTACTAACGCACCTGAACCAAGGAGACATCAGGGGAAAACCAAAACTAGAAGCCAGGGAGAGACGAGGAACACAGACAGAAGTTAGACGAGGATCCAGCAATCAGGAACTGAAGAGGGAGGGCTTTTAAAGGGGACAGAGACAAAGAGAGAGCTGACGAGGGAATTGAAAACAGGTGCAGGCAGAACAGAAAAACAGAGCAAGGGAGGACACAAGAGGGCAGCAGAGGACAACAAATGGAAAAACAGGAACAAACAGACCAAGACTCTGACAGGAATTTCCCATTGGGAACCTGCTAGCACTAAGTTGCTAACTGGTTAGCAAGATGCTTCCCACAAACCAGCTACAACCAAACTTGCTTGCGAACCTTCAGCCACAACAACCCCGCCCCCTTGATAATCGACCTATCACATTCACTTTATTCACTCGTGTAAAGTCGTGCACTCTGGAGAATTCGGGGAAAATGGTTGGAATGGCAGTTTCCCTGCGACTTTAAGTAGAAATGTTGGCTATCTATAGTTAACTGTAGTAATTATTCTTTAGACAACTTTTTACTTTCTACTCCTTACATTTAAAAAAAAAACTGTTAGATTTGTTTCATTTTGTCACAGTTTTGGTTCTGTTTAATGTTTGAGTTTTCAGTTTTACTTTGATCCATGTTTTTCTTTGTTTTCTAGTTTTATTGGTTTAATTCCTATTATGTGTTGTTTTCTGGATATATTTGAGTCCTTGGATATTTCTTGTTTGCCCTCTTATGTCAGTCTCCTTCTCCTAACTCCCTTCTAGGCTCCTCTGTCCACACCTGCTCCCAATCTGCTGATAAGCCTGGTCTTTGTTTCTCTCTCCCATATACAGGTCCTTCTCAAAATATTAGCATATTGTGATAAAGTTCATTATTTTCCATAATGTAATGATAAAACTTGAACATTCATATATTTTAGATCCATAAAGCCAAACCGTGTCCTAGTAGGTCTGCAGTTGGTCCATTCTCTCTCCAATGTTCAGATTAAACAGAGCTCTTGGAGATGCTTAAAGATCTAGAACCCTGACCCTCTGCTGTTATCCTGGGTCTTCAGGACGCTGATGTCTAAACCATATTTAACTTTACTTCCTCTACAAAGTTATGTTTTTCTTTGTGTTGTTCTGTGACATATTATAGTAAAACATACAGTCCAATGTGTGCCGTAAGTTAGAATGCTTTGGCGAGGAACCATGATGGGTTAAATCTGATGTTTCTTAGGACAGAAGCTCCGCTTCATTAGATGCTGATACTGGCTGTAGCAAACAGAAGCTAAAGAGGCGGACATTTGTCTTTCAGGTTCTGGTAAAGCAGAGACTGTTCGGGCGGTGGATGTCCTGACGGTGCTCAGAGAGAAAGTGGCCTTTGTATCGGGTAAGACAAAAAAAAAAGCAGCACTGGTTTGTTCTGATTTGTTCTGCTGTAAGAAGTTAAAGTCAAAGTTCGACGTGATTTCCAGGTGGACGAGACAAACGAGGCGGACCGATTCTGACCTTTCCGGCACGGACCAATCATGATCGAATAAAACAGGAAGATCTCAGCCGACTGGTGACCTACCTGTCAACCATACCCAGGTACAGCTCATTAGTTTTTATTGTCCATCCATCCATCCATCCATCCATCCATCCATCCGTCCATCCATCCATCCATCCATCCATCTTATTGCTCTTATCCGGGGTCGGGTTGCGGGGGTAGCAGCTTCAGTAGGGAGGCCAGACATCCCTCTCTACAGCCACTTGGTCCAGCTCCTCCGGGGGAATCCCAAGGTTTCCCAGGCCAGCAGAGAAACATAGTCCCTCCATGGTGTCCTGGATTCTCCCCCTGGGCCTCCTCTCGGTGGGACTTGCCTGGAACACCTCACCAGGGAGACGTCCAGCAGGCATCCTAACCAGATGCCCGAGCCACCTCAACTGGCTCCTCTCGATGTGGAGAACCAGCAGCTCAACTCTGAGTCCTCCCAGGATGACTGAGCTCCTCCCCCTGTCTCTAAGGGAGAGCCCAGATGCACTACGGAGAAAACTCATTTCAGCTGTTTGTATCCAGGATCTCGTTCTTTCGGTCATGACCCAAAGCTCATGACCATAGATGAGGGTAGGAACGTAGATCCACCGGTAAATCCAGAGCTTTGCTTTTTGGCTCAGCTCTCTCTGAACCACAACAGACCGGTACAGCGCACGCTTCACAGCAGATGCCGCACCAATCAGCCTAGCGATCTCCCGCTCCATCTTCCCCTCATTCATGAACAAGAACCCAAGATAGTTAAACTCCTCCACTAGGGGCAGTACATCCTCCCCAACCCACAGAGGGCACTCTACCCTTTTCTGGCTCAAGACCATGGCCTCGGATTTGGAGGACTCCAAAAAGAATTATTAAGAACTTACCTAGAGGGGGAATACTTCCTTTAAGCTTTACTACCGAAATGTCTCAATAGGTATTCATTTCATTTCTACAGATATCTGTTTTGTAAAGGTGCTCTACCGTTAGTTTAGAGATCCATTTAAAGAAGAAAATGTGTAAGAGATTTCGTTTGTTCTTCTTTGTCCGTGCATCAGCGAGGACGTGCGTGCGCGTGGCTTCACCGTGGTGGTGGACATGCGTGGCAGTAAGTGGGACAGCGTGAAGCCGGTGCTGAGGACTTTGCAGGAGTCGTTTTCCTCCAACATCCACACAGCGCTCCTCATCAAACCAGACACCTTCTGGCAGAAACACAAGACTAACCTGGGCAGCGCCAAGTTTAGCTTCGAGGTACGGCCAGCTGTTGGTTAACGTCTTCAATCACGAGTTTTTGTATCAAAGTGAACTAGACATCCTTTGCTCGTTCTCGGAAGATGTTTCAACTCTCATCTAAAGTTGAGGACTTTAACCGAGAGATGAAACATCAGCAAGAACTACCGCCTCATAGTTAAGGTCATCATAGCCTGAAATGTTCTTAGAGATTCCTGTAAAGAAGCAGTAATTGCTCTCCTTCCCCAGACCAGCCTGGTGTCGGTGGAGGGTCTTTCCCGGCTCATCGACCCCTCCCAGCTGACGGCGGATCTTGGTGGCTCGTTGGAGTACGACCATGTTGAGTGGACGGAGCTTCGTCTGGGCCTGGAGGAGTTCTCAGGGGCTGCCACGCAACTGCTGGCTCAGCTGGAACAGCTGGAGGCCGGGTTGAGCCGCATACCAGAGCCTAAGGACGTAGACGAAGCCCGCAAGTAAATATTCTGGGAATTTTATATTTCAGAGTCAATCAGTGAAAAAAATTGAGCAACAAATTCAAGGCTTTCTCTTCTTTAGACTTTTAGAGGAACACAATCGCCTCCGTAACACAATCGCCACGGCGCCAGTAGATGCCCTGGACAGGGAAGGGAAGAGTTTGCTCCAGCGAATGCGCCTGGGTCCTTCACACGGTGATGGATCCACCGAGGGCGGCGGCGGCGGCGGCACCTGGCTGTCAGGGGGGGCAGACTTCCAGAGCGTGGCCCCAAAGGTTTCCTCTCTGCTGGACCGGCTGCAGACCGGCCGTACCCACCTGCTCCAGATTTGGAGCGACAAAAAGCTGCACTTAGACCAGGGTCTGCAGTTGCACCTGTTTGAGCAGGACGGCACTAAGGTGAGCGCCGTGACCTGCAAACCTCGAAGCAAACGTTTTGCATCCTCATGTTAAGTGAAGCTTTGCTGCATGCAAATCCAGAGCGTCTGTCTAACGAGCCTCTATTGCTGCTGCTTCCGTGTCTCAGATGTCAGAGTGGATCGCCCACAGTAAAGAGCTGTTTCTGCAGAGCGTCACAGAGGTCGGGCAAAACCACCAGCACGCTCTTGACCTACAAACGCAACACCAGCACTTCACCGCCAACTGCATGGTCAGTCTGAGCCTCCCTGTGGGTGTCCGTCCTCTTGACTGTCTTCTCTAACACACCGTGTCCCCTGGCGCAGAACGGCAGCGTAAACGTGGACAGCGTGGTCACCGTGGCGGCGAGGCTCGCTGAGGCGGGTCACTACGGCGCAGAGCGGATCGCTTTGGTGTCGTCACGGTTACAGGATGACTGGAAGTCCCTGACGACCACCCTGGAGGAGCGCAGCAACATGCTGGCCATGGCAACCGGTTTCCACCAAGGGGCGGAGCAGGTACCTTTACGCTCTGATGTCTTTATGGCCGGCTGGTCAAATAAAACGATAAACAAACTGGGAAACGGGGAAACAAGTGTTTGCAAAAGTGTCTCTCTGTGTCCAGTTTCTCCTCCGGGTGGAGGGGTGGGTTAAAATGTGTTCTGAGGGATCCCTACCGACGGCAACAGCGGAGCTGGAGGCGGCAACTAAAAAGCATCAGGAACTGAACGAGGAGATATCCGCCAACTACACGCAGGTATTTGATTGGAAATCCTCCCGCATGTATCAGTGTAACGGCATGAATACGTCTGAGACGACTGACGGTTTCAGGTGAGTGAAAGTGGCAAAGCCTTAATGGACGTCCTCCAACGCAACTCTACGAGCGAGTCCAATGAGTCGGCCATCAAACCGGACTTCACCCCTGCCACGCACACCATCATGGGAGTCCTGCACCAAGTGATGCAGGTGAGGCTCGCCGTAGTTCCACCGTCAGAGTGGATTTAGTGCAGACAGACAGAAAAGGGAATTTGTTCTGTCTGCTCAGGGTCACCATGAGGTGGAGGGAGCCTGGCAGCACAGGAAGCTCCGCCTCCACCAGCGCCTGCAGCTCTGCGTGTTTCAGCAAGATGTGAAACAGGTCTGACTCCACTTCTTTACGCCGCTTCTGGTTTGAAATAGCATCATGGATTATTTCTCAATACGGATTATAATCCACGACATGAAGTCACATTTATATTTACGTTTTTTAAGTCCAGCTTATGTTTTACATTTTCAAATAAATAATTTAGGTCCAAATTAAGATTTAAAAATATGTTTTCTGTCCTTTAGAATTAAATAAACCTTTGGTTGATTAAGGAAAATTAAACTTTTATAATGTAGATGTAGATGTGAAATTTAAACTGAACATTTTCTAAAACAGAAAGATGAATTACACATTTAAATTCTGGATTATATTTACTCTTCATATCCATTTTTAATCTTATTTGAGTTAAAAAATATCTCAGAATCTGGATTTAAATTGGAAATGACAGATGTATGTAAACCCCACTATCAATCTGAATCTAAATCTATTTAGATATTTTAATCTAAATCTAATCTGAATCCGGATTTGACACCAAATTGAAATCAGGTTCGAATCACAATTAAAAACCAGATCTGGATAATAGTTTAATTTGAATTTATATCCAGTTTAAATTGAATTTAAAATCAAATTCTTTTATCTGTAGTGAATTTTAAGATGCATTTCAATCTATATTCTTAATTAGATTAAGATGCAGATTAATAGTGACATTATTCTAACCAAAGTCACCATTTAGATCTATGTTTTTTAGACGCTGAGTCAGGTTTTGTTTCTCTTGCAGGTGCTGGATTGGGTGGAGCAGCACGGGGAGGTTTTCCTCAACAAACACACCGGCGTGGGGAAGTCTCTCCACCGAGCGCGGGCGCTGCAGAAACGCCACGACGACTTCCAGCAGGTCGCTCAGGTTAGACACGGAACCGCATCACGTTTCCATAATCTATACAGATTATCAGGCAGATCAGGCATTCAGACGCGCGTCTCTTTTAGAACACCTACACCAACGCTGAGAAGCTCCTGGAGGCTGCAGACCAGCTGGCCCAGTCTGGAGAGTGCGAGGAGGAGGAGATCTACCAGGCAGCCAGAGACCTGGAGCTCCGCATGCAGGTGAGCTGACAGATGGAGCCCAGCTGTGAGGTGAATTGCATGCTGGGAGTCGGAGCTGTTTACATCACTAACATGTGTTGTAGGCCTTCATCCAGCGGGTGGAGCAGAGGAAGCTGCTGCTGGACCTCGCCGTGTCCTTCTACACCCACACTAAGGAGGTAACACCTCACCGCTGCAAACACTGATTTCCTCTCATCTCTACGATCTAAAAAGCGTTTCTCTTCGTCCTCGCTGCTCCTCAGCTGTCCGTGTGGATGGAGGGCCTCCAGAAGCAGCTCTCCTCAGACCTCCTGGTGTGTCCGGACACCGTGGAGGCCCTGCAGGCTCTGATCAGCCAGCAGCAGCAGCAGCAGGCCAACACACAGGTGCACCTCCCTGCCATTTACCAGCCAGCCCACACCTCTGACCTAACCGCCTAACACTCCCTGACCTCTGACCTCTAACCCCCACACTAACACCCAGCTCTAACCCTGACCCACAGGAAGCTGCGATGAGTGTCATCCGGGAAGGAGAGGACCTCATCCTGCAACTCAGGTACCCACTGAGGCCAGTGTAGATCTACTGTATATAGAACGTAGATCTGGGTGTGTGGATTCTAGATTATATTATTTTACACTGGGAAAAATAGAAATCTAAATAAGTCAATTTTCCTTTAAATAATTTCATTTTTCTTGAATTAATACGATAAGTGAGGCTCTTTGCCAATAGTACAAGACCATTTTTTTATTTTTATTTACTTATTTTGTTTGATTTATTTTATTTATCTATTTTTTAGATTACAAATAATAAAAAATAAATGAAAAATAAAATAAAATTAAGAAAAACAAAATATATATAAAATTAAAATGAATAAATAAAAAAGAAGCAAGAAAATTTACATTTAAAATAAGAAAAAATTATTTAATTTTCTTATTTTAAGTGCATATTGTCCATTAATATTTTAAGAGTAAAAATTCCCCATTTCCAAATCATCTTATTTTATCTGCTCAAATCAAAGTAAAATCATTTCATTTAAGAAATGTTGACCTATTTCTAAATGATTTTTTGCAGTGTAGGGTTAATGGACGACATATGGTGGGCGGGGTTTTGTAGATTGATGACGGACAGATTCTATGGTGTAAATTTCTGGCCGCTCTAACTGGGTAATGCTTTGCCGTGGCTCACTAACACCTTTTCTTCCCTGCATACATATCTGCTGTGACTAAGCTGTAAATTACATCCAAGGATGAACCAAACCTGCGGATGCGATAAATTCTCCGTCTGTCTTCTTGGCAGATTTATTCGACTTTTCCTTTTTTTTTTTTTAAAGAGTTGTGATGTCAGGTTTGTTTGAGGCGTCTCTTTAAAATACACTATATTGCCAAAAGTATTTGCTCACCTGCCTTGACTCACATATGAGCTTAAGTGACATCCCGTTCCTAATCCATAGGGTTCAATATGACGTCGGTCCACCCTTTGCAGCTAGAACAGCTTCAACTCTTCTGGGAAGGCTGTCCACAAGGTTTAGGAGTGTGTTTATGGGAATTTTTGACCATTCTTCCAGAAGCGCATTTGTGAGGTTGCACACTGATGTTGGACGAGAAGGCCTGGCTCTCAGTCTCCGCTCTAATTCATCCCAAAGGTGTTCTATCGGGTTGAGGTCAGGACTCTGTGCAGGCCAGTCAAGTTCATCCACACCAGACTCTGTCATCCATGTCTTTATGGACCTTGCTTTGTGCACTGGTGCACAGTCATGTTGGAAGAGGAAGGGGCCAGCTCCAAACTGTTCCCACAAAGTTGGGAGCATGGAATTGTCCAAAATGTCTTGGTATGCTGAAGCATTCAGAGTTCCTTTCACTGGAACTAAGGGGCCAAGCCCAGCTCCTGAAAAACAACCTCACACCATAATCCCCCCTCCACCAAACTTTACACTTGGCACAATGCAGTCAGACAAGTACCGTTCTCCTGGCAACCGCCAAACCCAGACCCGTCCATCAGATTGCCAGATGGAGAAGCGCGATTCGTCACTCCAGAGAACGCGTCTCCACTGCTCTAGAGTCCAGTGGCGGCGTGCTTTACACCACCGCATCCGACGCTTTGCATTGCACTTGGTGATGTATGGCTTGGATGCAGCTGCTCGACCATGGAAACCCATTCCATGAAGCTCTCTGCGCACTGTTCTTGAGCTAATCTGAAGGCCACATGAAGTTTGGAGGTCTGTAGTGATTGACTCTGCAGAAAGTTGGCGACCTCTTCGCACTATGCGCGTCAGCATCCGCTGACCCCGCTCCGTCAGTTTACGTGGCCTACCACTTCGTGGCTGAGTTGCTGTCGTTCCCAAACACTTCCATTTTCTTATAATACAGCTGACAGTTGACTGTGGAATATTTAGGAGCGAGGAAATTTCACGACTGGATTTGTTGCACAGGTGGCATCCTATCACAGTTCCACGCTGGAATTCACTGAGCTCCTGAGAGCGACCCATTCTTTCACAAATGTTTGTAAAAACAGTCTGCATGCCTAGGTGCTTGAATTTATACACCTGTGGCCATGGAAGTGATTGGAACACCTGATTCCAATAATTTGGATGGGTGAGCAAATACTTTTGGCAATATAGTGTATGTCCACAATTGTGCCTGAATTTCACTTAAAAGTCATTAGCCTATTGGAAGCCTCCATGGCTATGACATCATCAGGCTGAGCCTGGTTCTGCTGGAGGTTTCTTCCTGTTCAAAGGGAGTTTTTCCTCTCCACTGTCGCTACAAGCATGCTTAGTGTGAGGGATTGCTGAAGAGTCAATGAGTCGATGCAATCAGCTGGTTTTCCTTAGATAGAAAACTTTGAATCAATCTGACTGGATGATCTGGTTGAACTGGAAAGTGACCTGATGTGAATTCGTGCTATAGAAATAAACTGAATAGAATTGAATCGTCTAGGTTTTCTGAAGTAAAAAAAAAATCTGTAAAACTTTGGTGAATGTAAACCTCTGAGTTAGACGTTTGTAAAGTTTAGAAGGGAGTCATGAAAAACAGGAAAAGTTTAGTCTGATTTACTGGCGGCCGATCGGAGAAAAATCATAACTGGAGGGATTTTTACGTTTTTATCCTCAGCTTGTGAAAAAATCTTTATTTTTTAAATTGAAATGAGGAATGCATTTTTCAGGAATCAGAAATCGTAGTTTTCATAGTTTCTACAATATTTAACACAGGCTCTGCTGTTTCTTTAATATTGAACATTAATTTTGTCTGTTTGTTCTACATATTCTAGATCCTATCTGTTTTTAGGCGTTAATAAACTGTTTCAGAGGAGTGATCATAGCGCTCTGCATCAGCGGTGCTGTGTCTGACTCCCTGCCAGCTCCCAGATCAGCTTCTCTCATTGGTTGATGCAGCGCATCCAGCAGCTAAAGTTCAATTTCTCCAACTCCAACAGCTGCTGCTTCTGAAGCACCTCAGAAGCTCGTGAGGCGCAGCTCCTGCTGCTCAAAACGCGCTGCAAGACCTTTTGCGTCAACCATTGACTTTGAATGAAAACTAGCTGCTTCTGCTGCTTGTGGTCTGAACGTAGCATACAAATCACTTTATTGCGTAGCTTTATCTTAATTCGTTGTTGCGTTTCCTTCCAGGTTTGGATATTTAAAGTTGTAGGGAAGTCATATTTAAGTATCAAATCATTCTGGGTTAAACATGTATATAAATGTACTCTTTTTTTTAGACCATATTGCCCCAAAAAAATCCTGTCTTAAAATCTGTGTTTTTTTCCTGTTATCTTCGGCAGGCCAGTTAGTTCTACGTCAGCCTGAACACCTAAATTCTTAGCATCTTGATTCATGTGTCGCAGCTAATATACGCAACGGTTGAAACCAGAATCCTTTCCTTTCCCATTGAGTTGCGTCCCAGTGTTCACGGGGATGGACGTCTGTGTCTTCGGCAGGCGTAGAGCTAACAGAACTGGCAGCGTTGCGAGGCAAGGGCTCAAACATGTATGGCTGGAAGCCTTCTACACCAAACCAAGCTTCTGCCGCCCTGGCGTCCTCTTCCACAACATCTTCGTCCCCGCTTTCCTCCTCTAAATAAAAAATGGATGACGGAGGAGACTCATCCACGACCTCCGACACTAAACTCTCCTCCTCTTGCATGTTTCCGCTGTCCATAGCGTTCCTTGACAGCGTCGTTTCTAAGTCACCAATTTAGTGCTACTTGGTCCCAATGGAATTTCCCATTGGGAACCTGCTAGCACTAAGATGCTAACTGGTTAGCAAGATGCTTCCGATAACACAACCAAAAAGCTTGCAAACCTTCCTCCACAACAATCCCGTCCCCTTGATAAACGACCAATCACATTCACTTTATTCACTCGTGTAAAGTCGGGCACCACTCGGGAGAATTCGGAAATGCAACGGATGGAACGGCCGCTTCCCTACGACTTGAAGCTAAATTCCTAAATGCCTGAGTTGTGTCATTTCTCTGCATTTTAGGCCCCAGGGCAGCTCTGTGGCCCATGTGGAGTCAGTGTTGCAGCAGCTGGAGGAGTCCCACGCTCAACTTGAGGAGCTTTTCCACCAGAAGAAGATCCGACTCGACATTTACCTGCAGTTCCGCATCCTGCAACAGTGCACTCTAGAGGTTAGCATAGGTTCTGCATTATTCTACAACCCTTCCTAGTGTGAAACATCTAAGCTGGATTCTTTTTGCATGTATTCATTTTCAGGTAACTGGTGAGATGGATGCCTGGAAACAGGATCTCCAAAAACAGTCCCAGGATTTTTCAGCTGACAAGCTAACGTCTCCACGGCTAGCTGAGACGAACCCGGACCAGCTGGCCCAGGACAAACTAGCCCTAGGCCAGTCGCGTCTAGCAGAGGCGACTCCTGAAGCGTTAACGTTGGCACAGCAGCGTATTCACAGGTAAACCGGACAGGGAGGCATCTCTCTGCTTCATCATCGCTCGACGTGCTTTAATCGATTATCTGACTGCTCTGCAGGCACATGGAGCGAAGGCTGGCTATGAACAACATGATTTATGAGGTGATCCAGCAAGGACATGATCTTCAGCAGTATATCACAGAGGTCCAGGCGTCAGGTAGGGTCCTGATCTCTGAGATTTCCAGATGAATGAACAGAGAGGGCAAATGTTGTGTCATCTGCATACAGACGTACATCCCGATAAATGAAACATGAAGGTTTGTGTACAAAGAAACATGGTTCTAAGGACAGAGCCTTGGGGGACACCGTGAGTAAAGAGAGTCAAGATAAATAACGCTTAAACCGCCCCAGGAAACTGACCAACAACTTTAATCATCCCTCAGCAAACAACGAATGGTTAGATTTCATGAAGGGTATTTTGCCTCCGTCATATCAAACCTCCATCCATCCATTTTATTCCGCTTTATTTGGGGCCGGGTCGAGGAGGCAACAGTCTAAGCAGAGATGCCCAGACTTCCCGATCTATGCACATCTCCTCCAGCTGTTCTGGGGGACCCCGAGGGGACACCAGGCCATGGTCCTTCCAGCGTGTCTTGGTCCTTCCACCAGGCCTCCTCCCAATGGGACATGCCTGGAAAACCTCCCAAAGGAGGCAACCAGGAGGCATCAGGAACAGATGCCCGAGCCTCCTCAGCTGGCTCCTTTCGACGTGGAGGAGCAGCGGCTCTATTCCGAGCTCCTCTCGGGTAACTGAGCTCCTCACCCGATGTGGAGGGTCCGCCCAGCCACCCTGCCAAGGAAACTCATTCCGGCTGCTTGTATTCGCGATCTTGTCCTTTGGGTCATTACCCAGATCTCATGACCATAGGTGAGGGTGGGAATGTAGATCGTTCAGTAAATCAAGAGCTTTGCCCCCCGCCCCCGACTCGGCCCCCTCTTCACATAGACAGTTTGATACAGCGACCGCATCACCGCCGACGTCGCACCGATCCATCTATCGACCTCATGCTCCGTCCGTCCCTCACTCAGATAATTTGTTTTAAACCAGGCATATACTGTGCGATTTTTTTCAATCGTTGCGCGCAGCTACAGCTCACACTGTACGACGAAACTAGCTAGCTGAGACGCTCTGATGCGATCTACCTGCTCAAATTGTACGTCTAAAAACCAGGTGGGACTCGGACTCGTCTATCCAGAAACCAAACGAGTAGAAGAGGAACATGAAGCTCACTGGAGTGCAATTCAATTAAATTTTGTGCCGAACTCTGCTCTCCAGAGCGAGTAGATTGGTAACCCCGCCTCCTGCTCTCCTCTATCTTGTCTGCTGTCATGATTCATGCAGCTATTATTTCATATAAATGAAAAATGGAGAACAGATAAGCAGATCATGGCTTGTCTACAGTGAAAAGAAGGACTGGGTTATTTACTTTGGCCTTTTTGGAAACACAGGAAGGAGCAATCAGCTAAGTGAGCTTAGTGCTTGGAAAAAATCTTTCATTCCTTTAGAGACAGCATGAAAAGTCAGCCGAGTACAAAACATAGAGAGGAAAACAAGAAGAAAAGGGACAAGAAGAGAGGGACACAACCTAGAACAGATAATGGATGTCTATTCTATTAACATTTCTCTATCTGGAGAATGGGGCTCTTCAGAGGGGCCCCCTTCCTGTCTTTGCTGGGTCCCATATTTCCTAAATCCGCCCCTGATTTCAATGAACCGGGCGTCTGACCCTCGCGTTCATGTTAGGAATTCCTTCTTCCTCTAACATGGAGCAGCGAGGATTTGATGATGTGAGACAAAAGGTCAAAGCAGAGTGATGACTGTGCTGAACTCAAAGCTGCTTCAGTTCAAATATGTTTATTTAAATTAAATAAATGACGGTCGGGGATCAGAGAGACGTTTTCCCCGAATGCTGAAGCCTCGGTTTGACCATGACGATGTTAGAGGGGGAAAAAGGGGGCAGAGAGGATAATGGGAGGGGGGGGGGAGAAAGGGGGACGGGGTTGCTATGGAAACTGCTCTCTGAAGCACACAGCTGATCCCCATGGAAACGCCGTATTGAATTCACCACGGAGAGACACACACACACTCAGCTCAGAGTGAGCATGTAGCTGCTGCATTAACATTCTGCACTTTGCTTCCAAAATGTGCTTTTCAAGAACCGCAGCGTTTGGTTTCAGGTGTGGAGCTGTCAGAGGTGGAGGGAAGCCTCTCCTCTCAGGTGGAGGAGCTGCAGCGCCTCCTGCAGGACCAGCAGAAGGAGCTGCAGCAGATTGCAGATCACACTCACACATATCTGGAGCAGAACCTGCAGCTGAGGCACCTGCAGAGCCAGGTCAAACAGGTAACATACTTCACTGCCGCACGCGCACCATCGCACCATCGCACGCCGCTCACGTTTCCACCGTTCCCTCCCTGTGTCTGCTGCTTCCTCTCAGGTGCTGGGCTGGATCTCAGAGGGGGAGATGAAGCTATCATCCTGCATGCTGAATTCCAGCTGTCTGTCTGAAGCAGAGCAGCTGCAGAGGGAGCATGAGCGCCTCCAACAGACCATTGAGGTTACTGCAGTGCATTGATCAGAAATTACAATAAATATTTAATGGGAGCTTTAAATCTTATGTAAAAAAGCAACAGGAAGACTTTATTCTGCAGCACAAAAATATAAAAAATCATGGGTAATAAAATGCAGTTTAAGATTTACTGCAATGACAAGACAGAACTAAGCGATTCATCCTCCTGCTGGGGGTGCGGTCTTATCTTTCAGGCTCTGCTGCATGCCGAGTCCCTGCAGAGAACTCACCAGGTGGCGCTAGCTCTGCAGCAGCGAGCCGAGCTACTGGTCAGGTACGATCGGGCTGAATCGTTCTTTCTAAATCCCAGACTTTTCCTCGTCCTAAATGCAGCGTCTCTGCACAGGTCGGGCCACTACGACCCAGACGCCGTGAGGGCTTGTGCCCAGACGGTGGCGCTGCACTGGCAGACTCTGATGCTGAGGATAGAAGACAGGCTCAAACTGGTCAACGCCTCCGCCGCCTTCTACCGGACGTCACAGCAGGTGGACCGACCGCCCGTCGCTAAGCTAACTGAAATAACGACGCTGCGCTGCAAAAAATAGGAATCTAAATAAGTCCTTTTTTCTTAAAATAAGTGAATCTTGTCTTGATTTGAGGAGTTTGGTGAGAAAATATACATTTAAAATAAGAAAAATCTGTTGGATTGTCTTATTTCAAGTATATTTTATCTAAATATCTTATTTTTAGAGTAAAAATACTCCTATTGGCAAACTACCTCATTTACCTACTCAGATTAAGGGTAAATACACTTAATTAAAGACATTTTTACTTATTTCTGGATCGTTTTGCAGCGTGTGAATGTTACACTGCAAAAAGAATCTAGACATGGGTAAAAAATGATTAAATTAAGTGTATTTACCGTTAATCTGAGTAGGTAAATGAGGTAGTTTGCCAATAGGAGTATTTTTACTCTAAAAATAAGATATTTAGATAAAATATACTTGAAATAAGACAATTTAATTGTGTTTTCTTATTTTAAATCTAAATTTTCTTGTTCCATTGGAAAAATGCGTCTTATCTCCTCATTTCAAGAAAAATTCACTTATTTTAAGAAAAAAATGACTAGATTTAGATTATTTCCAGTGTGACAGATCGACAACCTTTGAGCAGCAATTATAGCAAAAATTGGAAAAAAAATATTTAAACATGATGCATTTAAGATAAAAAATAAAGCTTTTTTATCTGTCAGAATGTCCACTTTGTGAAAAAATTAATTAGTTAAATTAACTAGTTAAGTCATTTTTATTTCTAAAATTAAGTGCATTTTTACTGAATTGATTAGATAATTAGACAGTTTGCCAATGAAACAAGATAATTTACACTTAAAACAAGAAAAATCAGTTGCATTGTGATTGAGATAAGACGCATTTTTCCAATGGAACAAGAAAATTTAGATTTAAAATGAGAAAACACAATTAAATTCTCTTATTTCAAGTACATTTTATCTAATTATCTTATTTTAAAATTAAAAATACTCATTCCATTGGCAAACTATCTCATTAACCTGCTTAAATTAAGGGTAAATACACTTAATTTAAGACATTTTGACTTATTTCTGGATCGTTTTTGCAGCGTGTGAATGTTACAGTGTAAAAAGAATCTAGACATAAGTAAAAAAATTAATTAAATTAAGTGTATTTACCGTTAATCTGAGTAGGTAAATGAGGTAGTTTGCAAATAGGAGTATTTTTACTCTAAATATAAGATATTTAGATAAAATGCACTTGAAATAAGAGAATTTAATTGTGTTTTCTCATTTTAAATCTAAATTTTCTTGTTCCATTGGAAAAATGCGTCTTATCTCCTCAATCCAAGAACAATTCACTTATTTTAAGAAAAAAATGACTTATCTAGATTTAGATTATTTCCAGTGTGACAGATCGACAACCTTTGAGCAGAAATTATACCAAAAATTGGAAAAGAAATATATAAACATGATGCGTTTAATATATATATATATATGAAAAAGCTTTTTTATCTGTCAAAATGCTGCCCACTCTGCAAAAATTGTAAAGTGTTTACTTGAAGTGAGTAGATAATTACACAGTTTGCCAATGGAACAAGACAATTTACACTTAAAATAAGAAAAATCAGTCGCATTGTCTTATTTCAAGTGCATTTTATCTAATTACCTTATTTTAAGAGAAAAAATACTCATTCCATTGGGAGATCATCGTATTTAACTACACTGCAAAAAATTAAAATCTTAATAAGTAATTCTTTCTTAAAATAAGTGCATTTTTTTCTTGAATTGAGGAGGTAAGTGAGACACTTTGCCAATGAAACAAGATAATTTACATTTAAAATAAGAAAAAACTATTGCTTTGTCTTATTTCAAGTGAATTTTATCTATTTGTCTTATTTTAAGAGTAAAATACTCATTCCATTGGCAAATCCTCTTACTTACCAACTCAAATTAAGGGTAAACACACTTAATTTAAGAAATCTTGTACTCAGATGAAAGTTAAATACACTTAATACATTTTTACCTATTTCTGGATCGTTTTTCCAGCGTGTTAACTGCTATACCATGTCTGACCACCAGGAGGAGATGCTATTATATATATTTCCTACATAGGAGCTAAAGTAGAGGCTCGTTGCTGATCTTTGCTCCTGTTTCTCAGGTGTGTGGGGTGCTTGAGAGTCTGGAGCAGGAGTACCGCAGGGAGGAGGACTGGTGTGCAGGAGGAGAAAGGCAGCCTGAGCAGCTCCTGCCGCTCATTAGCAAACACATGGAGCAAAAGGAGGCGTTCCTCAAGGTGAGCGACACCATACCAAGCAAGATGGAGGGAAACAAAAAGAGAAATGCTAAAAACCAGTTTAACAAGTCAGGTTTGGTTAATCTGTATAGAAGTACATGAGTTAAAGACAATAAAAGTCATTAAAAGATACTATATACTCTATATAGTTTGTTTTCTATAGTATCTGATTGTGCGCGTGCACAAATAAGGAATAGATGTATTAACCATACGTATAAATGCAACAGGCATGCACGCTGGCACGACGGAACGCCGAGGTTTTCCTCAAGTACATCCATCGAAACAGCGTCACCATGGCCAACATCTCCGGTCACAACGTCACGGTCTCCGCGGTTACGGGGGTCACAGAAGTTACCGGACACTCCAGAGTCCCGGAGCAGCAAGTGAAAGGTTCGCAAAGCCAGAGCGGCGTATCTACGTCTAAATAAAAAGTGTAACGAGGACAGAGCCCAGAGGGACGCCGGCCGCGGCTGATTGGATTCCGTATTCAGGTGTGATTGTCTGTGCTCAGGTATCCTCAGTGAGCTGCTGCAGAGAGAAAACAGAGTTCTTCATTTCTGGACTTTGAAGAAACGCAGACTGGATCAGTGTCAGCAGTACCTGATGTTCCAGAACCACGCCCAGCAGGTGAGATGACCGGTCCAAACGGGTTTTTAACCTTCTGATTCTTCTGCGGGGGCGTTTCTACCATCACAGGTTTAATTTCTCTGTTATCTAAACATATTTTTAAAACTTGTTCAGTGCGTTTTCCTAATGACTGACTCCATTATGCACACATCGTATCTGAGACCTGAGCTAAAATATCATAGACGGCGCCTACACTGCAAAAAATCTAAATCTCAATAAATCATTTTTTTCTTAAAATAAGAGCATCCACAACTCAGTCGTTCCTCCCTGTCTCAACCGGTCCAGCAGGAAAACTGCCATGTTGAGCCTGGTTCTTCCAGAGTTTTTCCTTTCCACTGTCGCTTCATGCTTGCTCATTATTTTAATATGCCTGGATATTATTTTGAGAGTAAAATATTGATTCCATTGGCAAATCATCTTATTAACCTGCTAAAATTAAGCGTAAATACACTTAATTTAAGAAATGTTTTACTCATTTTTAGATCAGTTTTGCAGTGTAAGAACACATCTGGAAAAACAGTCTAGAAATAATTGTCTTAAATTAAGTGTATTTACTCTTAATTTGAGCAGGTAAATTAAATGATCTTCAATTTAACGAGTATTTTTACTCATTTTACACTATTTTTTACTTAATTATTGAAATAAGACAATGTAATTGTTTTTTCTTATTTCAAATGTAAATTGTCTGATTCCATTTACCAAATATAACTTTTATCTCCTCAAGAACAAATCCAGTTATTTTAAGAAAAAAATACTTATCTAGATTCTGATTTTTTACAGTGTAGTTTACAAAAGCATAAGACTAGAAGCATTATTATTATTACAACATGTATTTCAAACCCCCCTTTTTTCATTTCTTTAACTTTTCTAATGATCTAAAGACAAAAAGGAAACCTGATGATGTTTTCATTTCCAGGCTCTTGAATGGCTGCAGCAGTCAGGTGACCATTACCTGGCCACGCACACCTCAGCGGGAGCCTCCGTGGCCGAAACGCAGGAGCTGCTCAACCAACACAGAGAGTTCTGCATTTCTGCAAAGGTTTAACTCTTAAGATTTGGAAAAAAAAAAATGTTTTTAAACCAAAGATTTAGACCTAGAATTATAAATTTCACTTTGTTATCATGAAAGCATTTGGTTGGAATTTTAAAAGCATCTAGAAAATACGGAAGAGAGTTAGGGCCACTGGAAAAAAAAAAGTTAACTGATTTTTTTAATTTTATTTCAGTTTAACATGAGAAAAAAGTCAGAATTCTGACTTTTTTCCTTTTTTCTCAGAATTCTGATATTTTTCTCAGATTTCTGACTTTAATCTCAGAATTCTGACTAATTTCTCAGAATTCTGATATTTTTCTCAGATTTCTGACTTTAATCTCAGAATTCTGACTATTTTCTCAGAATTCCGGCTTTAATCTCAAATTTCTGACTTTTTTCTCAGATTTCTGACTTTAATCTCAGAATTCTGACTTTTTTCTCAGAATTCCGAGATTAAAGTCAGAATTCTGACTTTTTTCCTTTTTTCTCAGAATTCTGATTTTAATCTCAAATTTCTGACTTTTTTCTCAGATTTCTGACTTTTTTCTCAGAATTCCGATATTAAAGTCAGAATTCTGAGTTTAATCTCAGAATTCTGACTTTTTTCCTTTTTTCTCAGAATTCTGACTTTAATCTCAAATTTCTGACTTTTTTCTCAGAATTCTGACTTTAATCTCAGAGTTGTGGATCTTAATGTAGATGGGCCCCATGAAGGCAGAGATGTGGAGCTCTCAGCTTCACTGACAGATAGGTGAGTTGTTTGAGGTGGCCAGTGACACATTGGTGGATAAACGATGGAATTAGGCAACTTTTTACCTGCCTGAGGGGTCCCCTCATTACTGGAGGAGCAGAAGGTCATTAAAATGAGAGAGCTGGTCTCTAAAACAGACATGGCTATGGCTCGATGCTAACATGTTTGTTAGCTGTTAGAATTCTGAGATTAAAGTCAGAATTACTACACTAGACTGAAATAAAATGTAAAAAATCAGTTAACTTTTTTTTTCTTCAGTGGCCCTAATTTTCTTCCATAAGAAAATGTTTTTTTATCAGCTAAACCTTTTTATTTCTCTCAGCATACGCAGGAAAAGGTTCACCTGCTGATCCAGCTGGCTGAAAGCATGCTGGCCAAAGGCCACGCCCACCGCGCTGAGCTACGCCGCTGCGTCTCTGCGGTGGACAAACGATACCGTGACTTCACGGTCAGGATGGGTCAGTACCGCCACCTGCTGGAGGCTGCACTGGGTAGCAGTTCTCAGGTAAGTTCACATTCCAATGATCCTACACTGTAAAAAATGTAAAAGACAATTTTTCTTAAAATAAGTGCATTTGTTCTTGGATTGAGGAGGAAAAAGAGATATTTAGCCAATGGAGCAAGATTATTTACATTTAAAATAACACAACTGCACTGGAAAAACAATCTAAAAATAAGTAAAAATGTCTGAAATTAAGTATTTCAGTAGGTAAATGAGATGAGATGCCAATGGAATTAGTATTTTTAATTTTAAAATAAGATATTTAGATAATATTTCAATGTAACAAGACAATGTATATTTGAAATAAGAAAACACAACTGCATTTTCTTATTTCAAGTACAAAGAGTGTCACTTACCGCCTCAATTCAAGAAGAAATGCACTTAATTTAAGAAAAATTGGCTTATTTAGACTTTTATTTTTTGTAGTCTATTTTTCCTTCTCAAATTAAGGGTAAATACACTTAATTTAAGAAATGTTGACTTATATCAGGGTACAGTGCAGTGTACATTTTCTACACATCGAGCTGAAGGTTTAACTTCCATTAAATGGTGTCGGTTTGTTTTAGGATAACAAGGATTTAGAGCTGGAGCTGATCCCCAACAGTTTGTCTGACTCGGACCCTGAGGTGAACCTGTCTGACCCGAGTCACCAGGTCAGCGACGAGAAGAGACGCTCCGCTCGCAAAAAGGAGTGAGTACCGCCTGGAGGAGCGTCGCCGTCGGCACGACCGCGTTCCTTTAACGACGTCTGTGTGTTTGCTCAGGTACATCATGGCGGAGCTCCTTCAGACGGAGAGAGTCTACGTCCGAGATCTACAGGAGTGCATAGAGGTGAGTCTGGAAAAGTCTGGAGCGTCGCTCCACCATCGTCCATGAGAAATTTAGTACTAAAAGACAAATGGAAATGAGTTGATATTCCGAATTCTATAAATGCTTTGAAAGAATTAGCCATTTCACGATGATTTTACGCCCAACAACCAGCAGAAAAAGTCCTGAGTTTCCTGCATTCTGGTTGCAGACATACCTGTGGGAGATGACCAGTGGCTCCGAGGACATCCCACCTGGTCTGGCCAACAAGGACGACACCGTGTTCGGAAACATCCAGGACATCTACGAGTTCCACAACAGGTGCGCCTAAAATATATTAATAAACCAACCAGTGAGGCGACCGGTATATCTGTTAGAGTCTGCAGGAGAAGATTCTCACTCATCCAGGTCATAGTCTTTCAAAACAGTTAAAAACAATCCTCTGGACTTTGTTTCCAAGTTTGAAGACGTTTCTCTTCCATCCAGGAAGATTTTTCAATTCCAAATGTCAGAAATAGCGTTTAGTTCCAGGTTTTATCCAGCAGCCCAACAAAACCTGGTTTTAGTTTAGAAAACATGCAAATAGAAACGGATGAACGGGTCCCCCCCTTTGGAATGGGGGTCGTTTGGCTTCTTTGTTAGCCTGCAATGCCCCATACCTGTCTATGTCTCTGAAAGGGGGGTAGTTGGAGGGAATAGTTGGCCTGGCTGAATAGGTGAGGTCTTCTGTTCTCGTCTAAAGGGGTTGGAGCTGCGATGATAGCGGGAAGGAATCAACTCTATCGCTGCATTGAAGGTTTATTAAAGCTACATCCCTTTCAGAGACATAGACCGGTATGGGGCAATGCAGGCTGTTAGGGTTAGGGTTAGGGTATGGGGCAATGCAGGCTGACAAAAGAAGCCAAACGTGTCACGATTTGCCCTGATAGCTGGCCTTGATTGACCTTCAACCTGTAGGTTCTGCTTTATCTTCAGTCCAGCCCAGCTATCAGGGCCAGATCATCGTTTGATTTCTGTCTGTCGGTTCAGTTAGTTTAGTTTATTCCATGGTTCATGTCCTGGTTCTCAGAGGCCAGTAGAGTGGGAGGGTTTTACGTCTGACTGATGTATCCTCAGTACAAACATTTATACTTTACAACATCCCAACAGACACTCCCCCTAGGGGAACCAACCCACCCCCTGCTTAAAGAACTTTCTCACACTTGAGCATTTAGAGGAAAATCAACTTTAGTTCATGAAGGCCGTTCCTTGTTAGATTAATCTATCTTCCTCTGGTCAGATGGATCTCCTAATAACATCAGTCCTCCCCTTCATGCCATGAAAGAAGCTGAGTGACTCATTCTCATCTGTCATGACCTTTGTTTGCAGCCTGTGAGGCTAAGGCTCCGTCCACACGAAGTCAAAACGAACACGAAACACTAATATTTTCCAGAACGTTTGTCGTAAAGACGGAGACGTAAAATAAATGTGATCGTCCACACGAATGCATGAAAACGCTGCAAAATGTATGCCAGGCCTGTAAGTGGCGCTGTGGTGCCAAAGCGAAAATAGGCGACGAAATGTTGGGCATGCGCACTAATATTTATTCATGGTTGCCCTGCGGGTCCATTTTGGTGGTTCAGTCAGATTCAGGTGCTGAACTATGTGGTCGATATTGCTCTGTTCTTCCTGGAGATATTCCAGAAGAAGAAGATTCTGTTGTAAGCCCGACAGCAGGGTGAGTAGCATGAGCAGCAACCATTCAACACAGTATGGCGCCATTGTTGTTGTGATACTGTGTCGCGCATGCGTGTTTAGAGGCAACGCTATGACGCATGCGTGTAAAAAAAAAATGCGGTCAGAGCTTAAAGATGGAAACGCGAAAACGGCGTTTCAAAATCTTCCCACTCTGAAGGCTGAATAAAAAAAGATCGTTTACAGACCCCCGAAACGCCGGCTTCGTGTGGATGAGAGGCTGGTTTGGTGAAAAATTTGTGCGTTTAGGCCAGGGTTTGACTTCGTGTGGACGGGGCCTGAGAACAGACATAGCTTGACATTTTTACTCCACGTTTCCGTTCTGTTTTGCTTTAATTAACGTTGTGAACTTTCCTGCTGACTGTCTCACCTTGAATACTGGGTCCATCTGTCGCATTTTATGACCAAACGACCCCCCTTCCAAAGGGGGGGACCCGTTCATCCGTTTCTATCTGCATGTTTTCTAAACTCAAACCAGGCTTTGTTGGGCTGCTGGATAAAACCTGGAACTAAACGCTATTTCTGACATTTTGGATTGAAAAATCTTCCTGGATGGAAGAGAAACGTCTTCAAACTGGGAAACAAAGTCCAGTGGATTGATTTTTTAACGTTTTTTGGAATCAGAGTTGCAGCAGCTGGAGGCCAGAATCCATGTTTCTGTTTGTGTTTCCCAGTATTTTCCTGAAGGAGCTGGAAAACTACGAGCAGCTTCCAGAAGACGTGGGCCACTGCTTTGTCACCTGGGTAAATAATCAATATAATTCAACGCTGACGTTGGTCGCTCTGTTTTTAAAAGTTAAAGTGAATCTTTGTGTCGTTTTATTTGTTCAGGCTGATAAATTCCACATGTACGTGACGTACTGCAGGAACAAACCGGACTCCAGTTTACTGATCCAACAACATGGAGTCGGATTCTTTGAGGTCAGCTTTCCCAACAAATTTACTTATATACTTTATTATACACTGCAAAAACATTCTAGCAAGTACAAATTTCTTAAATTACTGATATGAACCCTTAATTTGAGCAGGTAAATTAGAGAGTTTACCAATGGAAAGAGGATTTTTACTCTTAAAATAAGATTATTACCGTAATTTTCGGACTATAAGCCGCACCTGAATATAAGCCGCAGGTTTTTTATGTTTAATAACCAAATGGTTCGTGCACAGAGAGGATTGTCGGGAAAGGGGCAACTGTTTGGGGAAGCTCCTATTTATGGCGTCTCCAACGTCTCCCCGTTGACTCGTTGATTCCAACGTTACGTTCAGCGGTTCTATTTCCTTCGTTTGCTGCCAAAATGGCTGCCTTTAACCTAAAAGCTGCATGATATGCATTTCAACGTTTGTTTTCCATAATGAGGTCGTCACACAAACTGTCTTGCGCTCGCAATGCCCGTCTTTCTCGGAGTCTGCTTCCGGAGGACGTCCGCATTCCCGCGCGCGAGGCTACTTGTTTGTTGAAGCAAATGTGACGTCAACATGGTGGATGGTCAAATCCATAGATTAGGTACCGTATTACCAGAGTGGCCGTTAGCTGTAAAAGTTCATAGATGAGCCGCATTGTTATATAAGGTCGAAAAATGGGGAAAAACTCGCGGCTTATAGTCCGAAAATTACGGTAGATAAAATGTACTTGAAATAAGACAATGAAATTGTGTTTTTTTATTTTAAGTGTAAATTTCTTGTTCTATTGGTAAAGTGTCTATTTTATCTCCTCAATCCAAGAATAATTGCACTTATTTTAAGAAAAAATAACGATCCCTGAGGGACATCAGTTTCACATGATGTCCATCGTAGTTTAGTTTGAGGAAACAAACTGAGAAACGATGTCAGAAGTGCAGATGTTCAGCCTGTCCTACTGCCTGGCTCTGACTGTAAGCAGGAAACGCTTATTGATGAATATTAACTCTTCTTCCTTTTAATGCAGGAGGTCCAGAGGAGACACGGCCTGGCCAACTCCATCTCCTCGGCTCTAATTAAACCGGTGCAGAGGATCACCAAGTACCAGCTGCTGCTGAAGGTGAGAAAACAAACCGTCCCTCAGCAGCAGAGCTTTAGAAGCAAACTGTTATTTAAAAAAAAAAAAAGGAGAAAAGTTGGTTTTCTCCTCCGTCTGCAAAACAAACCTCTGAAGATTCTCCCGACTTCCAATCCAGCACCACCCAAAGGACGCAGTGTTTGTCTCTGGAATAACTAATGAAAATGTTGTTCAGTCTAAAAGCATTTAGGATTCAGCTGCAGAGAAAGGCAGGAGGAGTCGATACACAGGAAGAAATCTACAGCTAGATAAGTCTTATTTTCTAAAAATAAGCGCATTTGTTCTTCAGCTGAAGAGGAAAAAGATATTTTGCAAATAGAACAAGACAATTTACATCTAAAATAAGAAAAATATCTTATTTTAAGAGTAAAAATATTAATTCCATTGGCAAACTATCTCATTTATCTACTTAAATTAAGGGTAAATACACTTAATTATTTTTTCTAGATTGTTTTTCCAGTGTACTGCTGTTTTACACTGCAAAAACGATCTAGAAATAAGTAAAAAATTCTTAAATTAAGTATCTCTTAAGGGGTTAAGAACATATTTTCCCATCCAGCTGGTTAGAAATCAGTTAGAATCTGAATTATGTTTTGCTGCTGAATGTTGTTTCTGTTGGGAAAACATGCAACCGAACATCTGTGTCGATGACTGCAGCTCCAGAAACACGTGTTCCTTCAGAGCGACAACGAGACAAATCAGGTCGGAAATTCTTCCATCACTGTATCAAATAAAGCAAATAAAAGCTCGCTGTAGGACGCCATCTTTGCCTGGAAGCAGGTAGATTGGATGCAGCCCAGCAGGGAAGGGATTTTAAACTGGGGCTGCTGGGAAATGTTTTTGGGTCAAAAAAGCTTTGAGCCTTTTCAAAATACAATAAAAATAGATAAATAGATTCAGATTCACTACTTTATAATCATATAGACTTCAGAGCAGGGAACCAGGGTTTGTAACAGGGTAAAGAATTTAGAAAACTGCAGCAAACACGGGCATCTTGGAGCTACCGGGTTTCCATGACAACCATCGGACGCTATGTGGATGACAGCGGAATGGGAGGGACACCAGGAAGGAGTCAATGTCCTACTATCTCAACATAAAGATGATGTTCCAATGAAATCCTATGGAGCTTTTAGCTTTGATGAGACTTAGATCACATTTAATTTTAGCCCAAAACATATCCAGCAAACATCTGGAACCAAAAAAACTAGGAGAGACTAGGAAGAAATAAACACACTAGACACTAGGGGGCAGCAGATAATAGGGAGCAGGTGGAGACAGACGTACCTAGAAGGAGCTACGTGGGAAAAGAAAGGACACTAGGGGGCAGCAGAGAATAACCAGAGAGAACAAATGGGATGTAAAAGAACTTAAGTAGGAATATAGAGGAGTAAAACTAATGACGACAAAATAACGAACTCCTGATGAGACTAAGATCACATTTTATTTTAGCTCCAGACATCAGCAGGGGCCCGTTTCTCCTTCAGAGGCCCCGGGGTCCCTGTTCATGTGTGTGTTCCTGTGTGTGCAGGAGTTGCTGGCCTGCTGCGAGGAAGGCAAAGGGGAGATCAAAGAAGGCCTGGATGTGATGCTGAGCGTCCCGAAGAGAGCTAACGACGCTATGCATGTTAGCATGCTGGAAGGTGAGGCGTGACCTTTGACTCAAAGTTCTTTCTTTGAATGAGTTTTAATGCGATGCACGCTGCAGGTCTGGAGGAAGGTCTGGAGGTGCAGGGAGAGCTCCTCCTGCAGGACACCTTCCTGGTCTGGGAGCCCAAGTCTCTGATCCGAAAGGGTCGAGACCGACACCTGTTTCTGTTCGAGCTGTCGCTCATCTTCAGCAAGGAGATCAAAGACTCATCGGGACGCACCAAATATCTCTACAAGAGCCGGCTGAGGGTAAACATCATTTCAGCCTCATTAAGTCAAGAAGAAGTTCATGAAAATTTAGTAAAATTGATTTTTAAGAGATGAAATAACTTCTGTTTTTTCCAATATAATGAGATTGATGTTGAAATATCGAACAATTTACATTTAAAATAAGAAACAAACAATTGCATTGTCTTATTTCAAGTGAATATTATCTAATTGTCTTATTTTAGGAGTAGAAATACTTATTTACAAATTAAAATTAAGGGTAAATCCACTTATTTTAAGAAATGTTGTACTTATTTCTAGATGGTTTTTGCAGTGTAAGAGGCTGCAGTTGTTTTTTTTCTTATTTTAATTGTAAATTGTCTTATTCTGCTGGCAAAGTGACTCAAATCTGCTCAATTCTAGAAAAAACGACTTCTCTAGATGTCGATTTTTTACAGTGTGTGGTATTTTAAGGTTTTAACAGTAGAAGCAGCCATTTTATTAATTTTATCCTCTTAGACTAAATCCTTTTGAAAGAAACCAACTAATCTCAGATCTGTTTCTTTATTATTGGTTGATCTATTATTAACAGTTTTTAAATTTTGGAGATGAACCTTTTAACTAACGAAGGAAAACCGTGATGTGTGTCAGACCTCAGAGCTGGGGGTCACGGAGCACATCGAGGGCGATCCCTGTAAATTCGCCCTGTGGGTTGGAAGAACGCCAACATCCGACAACAAGACGGTCCTGAAGGTACGCCTCCACCCGCCCTGGAAGGCGGGGCCTCACCCAGAGCGAACCTATCAACGCTTTCTGATGTTCTATCCATGACCTTTCAGGCTGCATCGCTGGAGCTGAAGCAGGAGTGGGTTCGCAGCATCCGCCAGGTCATCCAGGAGAGGCGGGGTCACCTGCGGGGGGCGCTGAGGGAGCCCATCCCCCTCCCCAAGACCCCCAACCCAACGCTGGTACGACAGCGCAGCATCACCCGCAGGTCAGACCTTAAATTAAAACCTTCATCTGAATCTCTAGATTTAATCTCAGCTTCTTCTCTGTAATCAGTTATTAAATCATCCGTCACGTTTTATGAGGCTCTGCTGGTTGAAACGCCGAAAAGCTGCTATAAGGAGAGTTTAGGGGAAAATAAAAGGATTAGAATATTGATAAAGGAACGAAGAGGCCATCAGAAGGTCTAAGCCTCGCCTTAAAAGTGGACAGGGTGTCAGATTAAGAGCAAAGTTCTCTGTTAGGAACATAAAAGAAAGTAAGATGGGATTAAATAATCTCCTAAATGAGGAGAAAATGCTTTAAACTAATTATTAAAGGCATGTAATAACTCTGTACTAAAGGAAACAACCTTGTGTTCGTCAGGGAAACCAGCGAGGACGCAGACAGCCTGGGCGACGCCAGCAGTCAGCCCGACACCGTCTCCATCGCGTCCCGGACATCCCAGAACACCGCCGACAGCGACAAGGTAGAAACACACATCAGACCCGGAGAGGGGCGGCGTGCGGAGCAGAGCTATGACCTCATCGCTGCCGCAGCTGGCTGGGTGTGAGGGTAAGGGTGGGAGTCTGAGGGGTTTTCCACAGTTCGCACTTCTTGTTGAGACGCTCTCTGCTCAGCTGATGAGGTACGTTTGATTTTGGGACCTACTGAGGGTTTGGCACGGGTGGGGTTAGGGTCGTGACCTCTGACACCGTGACCCGGCAGGACGCGGTCCTTTGGTTGTGTTCAGGGACGGAAAGGTGAGCGAGTAGAGGCTGAGAGGGACGACAGAAACAAGCTGCAGGTATTCAGCTGATTATCTTGTTTGTTTTACATTTAAAATAATCCTGATAATAATCCAATAATAATCTGATTCCCAGCAGGCTAAGACACACATATTTAAAACATAATTAATGTGCACAAATTGGGAATAGTTGTATTAACCATACATGTAAACTCTGTTTACATGTATGCTAATAGCAGCTTTTACAGCTGTGGATGTCGTGGTTTACTTTATTTACTTTTAAAATCTAAAGTTGAATAATTTATAATAGAGGAGCAAGAAAACAGAATTTAAAGTTAAAGTTTGTGTCTAAAAGGGTTAATATGAAATATAAATGTAATGGCATTAAATATTGAATAGTTTCCAGATTATTTAGAGTCGCCTCCTCAGATTTCCTGCAGTGCAAAGCGTTTCTCTGTCAGCTCACCGCCGCTCCTCGCCTGTTTTCCGTCTGCGTCTCTGAGCGGATCACAGCTGGGTTGCATTTAATCCGGGAACTCCCCTCCGCTCCCTGTGGAGCCTGACAGGGAAAGTGTTTCCTCCCCAGCTGGAGCCCATGTGCTCCGGTTACTCAACACAGTGGCAGCCGTAACCATGGTGACCTCAACCTATAGCTCTCGTCATGTTTTCGGACCAATCAGAGCGTGGGTGTGGGCTGAGCATGGCTCATATGTCGCTCATCAGTCATGTGTTTAATCTGCTGCATAGAAACAATCTAACACTAAGCGGTTTTTAATGACATTATTTTATACCAGAAACATGGAAAATAGAAATAAAAAGATAAAATACAGACAGAATGTTATCTGTTATGGGCCCCAAATTATGGAATGACTTACCTTTCCAGGTCAGAGAGGCCCCTTCTTTGCCCATTTTTAAAGCTCGTCTTAAAACCCATCTATTTTACTTGGCTTTCAACACCAGTGAGATCTAGTTTTAAATTGTATGTTTTTGTTTTTTTAAACTGTTTTTAAATTACTTTATTATGTTGTGTTCTTAAATTGTACAGCACTTTGTATCAACTTTGGTTGTTTTAAAGTGCTCTATAAATAAAGTTGGTATGGTATGGTAAAAACCAAATACTAAACAGAAACAGCTGGTAAAATTATACATAAGTGAAACATTTTTTCTTAAATTAAGTGCATTTTTATTTGAATTGAGCAAAAAAGTGCGACAACTTGCCAATGGAATAAGACTATTTACATTTAAAATAAGAAAAAAACAGCTGCAGTCTCTTATTTTAAGTGCATTTTATCTAATGTTTTTATTTCAAGGGTAAAAATGCTCAAGTTAAGGTTAAATACACTTATTTTAAGAATTGTTTATCTTATTTTCAGAACGTTTTTGCAGTGAAGAATATATATAGTTTTTATAAAATGTAAAACTGACAAAGTTACAAGCATAACACTGCAAAAAAAATCTAAATAAGTAATTTTTTAAGATAAATGCATCGTTTCTTGAATTTAGGAGGCAAGTGAGACACTTTGCCAATGGAAAAAGACAATTTACATTTAAAATAAAATAATTGCACAGCTTATTTAAAGTGCATTTTATCTAATTATCTCATGTTAAAAATAAAAACACTAATTCCATTGACAAATCATCTAATTTACCTACTTAAATTAGGATTAAATACACTTTATTTAAGACATGTTCACTTATTTCTTGAATGTTTTTGCAGTGTTACATTATCTTTGCACACTGCAAAAAATTAAGTCATTTTTTCTTGAACTGAGGAGGTAAGTGAGACACTTTGCCAATGGAGCAATACAATTTACCTTTAAAATAAGAAAATACAATTGCATGGTCTTATTTCAAGTGCATATTATCTAAAAATCTTATTTTAAGAATAAAAATACAAATTCCATTGGCAAATTATCTTATTTACCTGCTCAAATTAATGGTAAATGCACTTAATTTAAGACATTTTCTCTCATTTCTAGATCGTTTTTGCAGTTCACCATTCTCACATTCATGCACTGCAAAAAAAAAAAAAAAAAGGAAATCTACTTTAAAGTAATTTTTTTCTTAAAATAAGTCATTTTTTCTTTTATTGAGGAGGCAAGTGAGACATTTAACCAATGGAACCTGATAATTTCCATGTAAAATAAGAAAAAACACAGTTGCATCGTCTTAGATAAGTGCATATTATCTCATTGTCAGGGTTAGGTTGAGGTTTTGAGGACCCAAATGCAGAAGCGAGGAGGCAGAGAAGAGTTTTATAGATTTAGTTTATAATCTAAAAACTAAAATACACGATACATGGAACCAAAAATCAGAAAACTTCAGGGGAAAACTCACGTGGTGAGCCAGGAAACGACGAGGAACCAGCAATGATGAACTGCACAGGGAGAGTATACAGGTGCTGGTCATAAAATTAGAATATCATGAAAAAGTAGATTGATTTCAGTAATTCCATTTAAAAAGTGAAACTTGTATATTATATTCATACATTACATACAAACTCATATATTTCAGATGTTTATTTTGTTTAATTTTGATGATTACAAATGACAACAAATGAAAATCTCAAATTCATCATATCAGAAAATTTGAATATTACTGAAGACCAATAAAAACAAAGGATTTATAGAAATGTTGGCCAACTGAAAAGTATGAGCATGTACAGCACTCAGTATTTAGTTGGGCCTCCTTTGGCCTGTATTACTGCAGCAATGCCGCGTGGCATGGAGTCGATCAGTCTGTGGCACTGCTCAGGTGTTATGATAGCCCAGGTTGCTCTAATAGTGGCTTTTAGCTCTTCTGAATTGTTGGGTCTGGTGTATTGCATCTTCTTCTTCACAATACCCCATAGATTTTCTATGGGGTTAAGGTCAGGAGAGTTTGCTGGCCAATTAAGAACAGGGATACCATGGTCCTTCAACCAGGTACTGGTAGCTTTGGCACTGTGTGCAGGTGCCAAGTCCTGTTGGAAAATGAAATCTGCATCTCCAAAAAGTTGGTCAGCTGCAGGAAGCATGAAGTGCTCTAAAACTTCCTGGTATGTGGCTGCGTTGACCCTGGACCTCAGAAAACACAATGGACCAACACCAGCAGATGACATGGCACCCCAAACCATCACTGACTGTGGAAACTTTACACTGGACTTCAAGCAACGTGGATGAAGTGCCTCTCTTCTTTTCCTCCAGACTCTGGGACCTTGATTTCCAAAGGAAATGCAAAATTTACTTTCATCAGAGAACATGACTTTGGACCACTCACCAGCAGTCCAGTCCTGTTTCTCTTTAGCCCAGGCAAGACGCTTCTGACGCTGTCTGTGGTTCAAGAGTGGCTTGACACAAGGAATGCGACAGCAGAAACCCATGTCTTTCATACGTCTGTGTGTGGTGGTTCTTGAAGCACTCACTCCAGCTGCAGTCCACTCTTTGTGAATCTCCCCCACATTTTTGAATGGGTTTTGTTTCACAATCCTCTCCAGGGTGCGGTTATCTCTCTTGCTTGTACACTTTTTTCGACCACATCTTTTCCTTCCCTTCGCCTCTCTATTAATGTGCTTGGACACTGAGCTCTGTGAACAGCCAGCCTCTTTAGCGATGACCTTTTGTGTCTTGCCCTCCTTGTGCAAGGTGTCGATGGTCGTCTTTTGGACAACTGTCAAGTCAGCAGTCTTCCCCATGATTGTGTAGCCTATAGAACTAGACTGAAAGACCATTTAAAGGCTTTTGCAGGTGGTTTGAGTTAATTAGCTGATTAGAGTGTGGCACCAGGGGCCATCCATTTTGAACCTTTTCACAATATTCTAATTTTCTGATATGATGAATTTGAGATTTTCATTTGTTGTCATTTGTAATCATCAAAATTAAACAAAATAAACATCTGAAATATATGAGTTTGTATGTAATGTATGAATATAATATACAAGTTTCACTTTTTAAATGGAATTACTGAAATCAATCTACTTTTTCATGATATTCTAATTTTATGACCAGCACCTGTATATGGGAGACTGAACAGAAACAGGACTGATGAGCTGATTGGGAGCAGCTTTGGACAGAGGAGTCTAGAAGGGAGCGAGGGAAAAAGAGACCAACACAAGAGGGCAGCAGAGGGCAAACAAAAAATACCTAAAAACTCAAATACATCCAGGAAAAACAAGGCAAAATAGGAATTAAACCAATAAAACTAGAAAACAAAGAAAAACCATGAAACTGAAAACTCAAAAGAAAACTTAAACAGAACCAAGACTGTGACACTAATTATCTTATTTTAAGAATAAAATTCCTCATTCAGTCATCTTATCTACCTGCTCGAATTACACTGCAAAAAAATGGAAATCTCCATATGTCTTTTTTTTTTTTTTATAAGTGCAATTTTTCATCAATTGAGGAAGTGAGACATTTTGCCAATGGAAAAATACAATTTACATTTAAAATAAGAAAACAGAACTGCATTGTCTTATATCAAGAGCATTTTATCTAATTATATAACTTTAAGAGTAAAAAATACTGATTTCATTGGCAAACTATCGCGTTTATCTACTCAAATTAAGGGTAAATACACTTAATTTAAGACATTTTTTACTTATTTCTAGATCATTATTGCAGTGCATTGAGTTCAGCACTGGAAAAACGATCTAGAAATAAGTAAAAATTAAGTGTATTTACTCTTAAAATAAGATAATTAAATAATATATACGACAATGCAATAGTGTTTTATTATTTTAAGTATAAATTATATTGTTCCATTGGCAAAATGTCTCTTCTATCTCCTGAATTCAAGAAAAAATGCACTTATTTTTTTTTCCAAATTACTTATCTAGGTATTCATTATTTCCAGTGTTCCTATAATTTTATACACCACACCTTCCCCCATTTCTCCTCCATGTTCTGAGGTCAAAGGTGATCCATCATTGCATGATAGCGTCCAAAGACCACTAAGAGCAGAGAATCGTTGAAATCACTGCTGATCTTGGATTGATTCAGTTATAGATCTTAAATGGTTAGAAGTTATTCAGTATGTTGTTTCATTTTCCACTGCATGGTTGTTGGTGTCAGTATTTGGCCTAATGGTGTCGGATCTCCAGACTTTCTTGTCAGATCTGCCTCCAGCATCAGTGAGGTCATTGACCTTCAGTTAGAGTCCATCAGCTGAGGATGCGATTTGATGGCGGGGATCCACGCTGACACTAACACGCCTCTCTGTGTCCATCAGCTGAGGAGCATCATCAAATGATGCGGTTTGATGGCGGGGATCCACGCTGACACTAACACGCCTCTCTGTGTCCATCAGCTGAGGAGCATCATCAAATGATGCGGTTTGATGGCGGGGATCCACGCTGACACTAACACGCCTCTCTGTGTCCATCAGCTGAGGAGCATCATCAGATGATGCGGTTTGATGGCGGGGATCCACGCTGACACTAACACGCCTCTCTGTGTCCATCAGCTGAGGAGCATCATCAGATGATGCGGTTTGATGGCGGGGATCCACGCTGACACTAACACGCCTCTCTGTGTCCATCAGCTGAGGAGCATCATCAGATGATGCGGTTTGATGGCGGGGATCCACGCTGACACTAACACGCCTCTCTGTGTCCATCAGCTGAGGAGCATCATCAGATGATGCGGTTTGATGGCGGGGATCCACGCTGACACTAACACGCCTCTCTGTGTCCATCAGCTGAGGAGCATCATCAGATGATGCGGTTTGATGGCGGGGATCCACGCTGACACTAACACGCCTCTCTGTGTCCATCAGCTGAGGAGCATCATCAGATGATGCGGTTTGATGGCGGGGATCCACGCTGACACTAACACGCCTCTCTGTGTCCATCAGCTGAGGAGCATCATCAGATGATGCGGTTTGATGGCGGGGATCCACGCTGACACTAACACGCCTCTCTGTGTCCATCAGCTGAGGAGCATCATCAGATGATGCGGTTTGATGGCGGGGATCCACGCTGACACTAACACGCCTCTCTGTGTCCATCAGCTGAGGAGCATCATCAGATGATGCGGTTTGATGGCGGGGATCCACGCTGACACTAACACGCCTCTCTGTGTCCATCAGCTGAGGAGCATCATCAGATGATGCGGTTTGATGGCGGGGATCCACGCTGACACTAACACGCCTCTCTGTGTGTCTGCAGCTGTCTGGAGGCTGTGAGTTAGTGGTGGTCCTGCTGGATTTCACCTCTGCGGGGCCCGGGGAACTCAGCGTCCGCTGCAGTCAGACGGTGGAGCTGGTGGAGCGCTCGGCCGACCGACCCGGCTGGTGCCTGGTCAGAACCACGGATCAGTCGCCTCAGCAGGTAAGGGATCCGACCGGAAACATCCCCGTCGCTGCCGACGACCCGCCGGTTCTTCATCGGATGCCGTTTCCTCACAGGAGGGCTTGCTGCCCATGAGCGCCCTCTGCCTGTCGCACTCCCACAGCGCGGCCGACATGGAGGGGCTGGTCCCGGCCTCCACCACCTCCCCCAGCGCCACCTCCTCCGGCGTCGCCGCCGCCTCCTCTGTCTGCAACTCCTCCTCCTCCACCACCGCCAGCAGCACCGCGCCTTCCTCCAACTCCTCCTCCACTGTGAGCGCCGGCAGGGGTGAGTAATCTGATTACAACCACGGTTACAGTAACTGCACTGGAAAACATCTCAGTCTATATAAGACTTTTTTTCTTAAAATAAGTCATTTGTTCTTGGATTGAAGAGATAAGACATTTTGCCAAGAAGATAATTTACATTTAAAATAAGAAAACACAATTACTTTGTCTTATTTCAAGTGCTTTTTATCTAATTACCTTATTTTAAGAGTTAAAATCCTCATTCCATTGGCAAACTATCTCATTTACCTGCTCAAATTAAGGGTAAATACACTTAATTTAAGACATTTTTAATGATTTCTAGTTAGTTCTTCCAGGAACAAATACAATTATTTTAAGAAAAAAATGAATTATCTAGATTTTGATTTTTTCCAGTGTATATTGAGTATATATTAATTCGAAGTACACTTCGCTGCAGCAAACAGAAAGGGGCGGGGACGGACCACTGTCAGTCTCATACCTTATATGGAAATGGGACCATTTCATTCCGGAACTGACGGGGGCGCTAGTGACACTATTTCCTGTACCGACCGTTTCATAATAATTATAATAATAACGTATTTTATTTGACAACGCCTTTCAAAACACCCAAGAACACTTTCAACATTAAAAATACTAATTAAACAGTAAAGAAATGGCTACAAAACGTGATATGTCACGTGGCATGTCTGTCACGTGGTATGTCCCTTTTTTATTTTGAAATCTTTATTTAAAATTATATTAGTAACAAACAATCTAAAATAAGCAACAATAAGGAATCATTATGGAGAAATAAAATCAATATTTTGGAGACAAATGTACATTATATTAAGAGCACATTTATCCACCCATTAATTTTTATGAATTATCCTCAAGTGGGGTCATGAAGGCTGCTGACCCTGGACAGATCCCCAGTCCATCGCTGATTAAGAAAACAGATATAAACAAATACATGCTGGTGCTGAAGTTCAAATAATATATTTTGATGTTGTGAATGGTACTCTTAAAATAAATAAGTTAAAATCTAAAATATAATAGCCTTTGGCTTATTTAATAAGAACTAGATGGAAAAGAGGTTTGGTCTGTAAAACATTTAGTCGACAATTTTGGCCAACTTAGTACGTCCATTCACGGTGCACTTTTGTTGTTTATTTGCCAAATATTTTTTCTTATTATTCTCATTGTGAATATAATTTACAAACAAACCAAAGGACTTTTGAACTTTTAACAAGTGCCATTCGGTAACTAGAATATACTTGGTTGCAGGTGACCTGGCTCAATTATTATCATTATTGACCATAATGTCTCCTATAAGGACTCCAGCTCAACTAGTAAACTGATTGGTGTCCCACTATTCCATTTAGAAATACCATAGTAATTTTATCAATTGCAATAAATTCATGAACTGCACTCCAAAAACATGAATATCCAATTGTAGCAAAACCCAAAGTGATTAATTAAAACCTTAAATGTAGCTTCAACCTGGAAAGACTCGCACAGAAAGTAGGTTTTAGAAAGTTCATTTGACAATAATCTTCAACTTTCTGATCCCGGCAGTAGACACTGTACTGGTAACCACCAGAGAATTATCTTTTTTCTACATGAAAACCTTTTTGAATAAAGTCTGTCTTCATCTCACCTGCTCAGCCAATCACCTGCTCAGGTGCCTCCCTCCCAGCCTAATGGCGCCGGTCTCAAGTCCTTCACCCTTCATAAAGTCCAGCTTGATGTGTGCAACTGCTCCTCACCTGAGCTTCCATCACCTCCACCCTGATTACACCTTCGCTTTGCTCGTTTAATCTTATGTTTGTATCTGAACAATATGTTTCTGCAACTTATTTTTTATTACATAAAACAAGTTGATTCTAACTGTTAAAACATAAACAACTTGTCTGTATGTCAGGTTTGTAAAGAAAGTTTGTATTGATTCCAGTCACTGTTCAAAAATGTATAGGAAACATTGTATATTGCAAGTTATTAGCTTTGCTTGCATTTAAAATTTTCCAATTGTTAAACAACGCTGTTACAATATATTTACAACTACTTTATTGGTTCTACTGTCTCTCCAACAAATTACAGCCACAATGTAACTTTGTGGAAACGACACCATTTCTATGAAAACTAAATGATGTAAATCAACTGAGCTACAACAAAAGGAACTTTAAAAAATGTAAATAATATTGAAAGAACACATTATGAAAAAGGAGGACTGCACAAGTCAAAAGGTAAATATTCTTTATCAGTAACGATTTCAAATGGCATGTCACAAAAAAAACTAACAATATGTGACAGATTGTGGAAAGCAACTTTTATTTTCTTTGAATTCAATGTTGGCACTCAGGGCAAAGTCCAGGTATGCCATCACAGTAGTAACGAGGGTACTCTCCTCTCCTCCGCATCTGACAATAAAAAAATAAAAAAACAAACAAAATAAAAAACAGGTGCATTGCAAGACTGTCATACAGGAAGAATGGATGATACATATGATTATGAATGAATCTTACCTGTAAGACTGGCGGTATCCTTTCTACCTGCATGGTGAAGAGCATTAAACAATAATTAATACTTTATATCTCTCAGTATCTTATCCTTTCATCTCTAATGATATAAAAAAAGTTGTCCAAATAATGAATTTTAATTAAAAAAAAATCATTTAGGGTTTTAGTCTCATTTGCACATAAAGATACACAAATCAAAATTACTAGTTATGTGTAAATTTAAAAAATGAACCTCAATTTGTGCCTCGGCTCCTTTGGCATAGGTGTGGTCATCAGCACACAGAGTCTGTAAAAATACAGATATGTTCTAAGTGAAAGATGAATGCAAGTCAAAATAACATCAAAACTGCTTCAACCCTTTTAATTCTTCTATCCTGATTTTCTTTCAGACTTAAAAAAATAAGCATAGAACAAAAGTACACTGTGAATGGACATAATACAAATTCTATGACTTAAAACAACAAAGTGATGAATTTTAGCTACAGCTTACCTCACATTTTGCCCTCTCATCAACTTTTTTCCGCTTTCTCTCCTTTTGTAGTTCTTCTCTGGACCTTTTAAAAAGGACAAATTGAAGGTTTTCTTAAAAAACTGAATCTAGAAAAGCGTATTAATTTACTATGTGAAACAAATTTTAAGAAGGTAAAATTACCTTTTGTTGATTTTGTGGGTTTTGCATTATGGATCGTGTGCCGAACACCAGTGCAAAAACTTTTCAAACTTCTTTCTTTCTTCTTCCTTTCCTCTTAACCCCGCATCTTTAAGGCATTTATACTAGTGATTATGAAAATAGCGCCCCCTTCATTTCCGGAATGCAATAGTCCCATTTCCAAATAAGGTATGGGACTGACGGAAAGGTCCGTCCCCGCCCCTTTCTGTTTGCTGCAGCGAGGTCCTTCTCATTAATTCACTGCAAAAACAATCTAGAAATAAGTAAAGTTGTCTTAAATGTATTTAACCTTAGTTTGGGTTCGTAAATGACATAGTTTGCCAATGGAATGAATATTTTACTCTTAAAAAAAGATAATTAGATAAAATACACTTGAAATAAGACAATGTAATTGTGTTTTTTTTATTTTAAATTTAAACTGTCTTTCTGATGTTAACTGAGATAATTAACTTATTATCCTTTCATCCCTCAGGTAATGAAAACTTTTACAACAAACTTATTAAAACAAACGTCAACAAACTAAAAGTTTCAAACTATGTCTCCCATTAATCATTCACACAGACAAACAGGATCTAATATTTCAGACAGAAAAATCCGTGTTAAATACAAAACAGAAGCTTTTTTTAAACATGTCGTGTAAAATAAATAAACATCTAAAAGTTGTTGTTTTTTTTCCACTTCAAGGTGTTTGTTTTTAGGAATGATAAAAAAACAGGAAATATGAGTTTGAAATAAAATCTTCTGAGAAAACGAAAAGTCCTGCAGCGACGCAGGAACTTTAACTGCATCGCTGCTGGTTTGTTCCACAGGGTTCAAAGGTCACACTGCTGCCGGGTTAAACTTTAACCTGAAGGAGCAATTCTCCTACAGGAACCTGCCGTTCAACATCCTGTCTGTGGGGGAGTTAGAGTGCGTGTGTTTGGGTGTGTGTTAAAGTGTGTGTGTGTGTTAGGGTGTGTTGGTGTGTATGTTAGAATGTGTTTTAGTGTGTGTTTCAGAGTGTGTGTTAAAGTGTGTGTTAAAGTGTGTTTTAGTGTGTGTGTTAAAGTGTGTTTCAGAGTGTGTGTTTCAGAGTGTGTGTTAGAGTGTGTGTTAAAGTGTGTTTTAGTGTGTGTTTCAGAGTGTGTGTTAAAGTGTGTGTTAAAGTGTGTTTCAGAGTGTGTGTTAGAGTGTGTTTTAGAGTGTGTGTTAGAGTGTGTTTCAGAGTGTGTGTTTCAGAGTGTGTGTTAGAGTGTGTGTTAAAGTGTGTTTTAGTGTGTGTTTCAGAGTGTGTGTTAAAGTGTGTGTTAAAGTGTGTTTTAGTGTGTGTGTTAAAGTGTGTTTCAGAGTGTGTGTTAGAGTGTGTGTTAAAGTGTGTTTTAGTGTGTGTGTTAAAGTGTGTTTCAGAGTGTGTGTTAGAGTGTGTTTCAGAGTGTGTGTTAAAGTGTGTGTTAAAGTGTGTTTTAGTGTGTGTGTTAAAGTGTGTTTCAGAGTGTGTGTTAGAGTGTGTTTCAGAGTGTGTGTTTCAGAGTGTGTGTTAAAGTGTGTTTTAGTGTGTGTTTCAGAGTGTGTGTTAAAGTGTGTGTTAAAGTGTGTTTCAGAGTGTGTGTTAGAGTGTGTTTCAGAGTGTGTGTTAGAGTGTGTTTTAGAGTGTGTGTTAGAGTGTGTTTCAGAGTGTGTGTTAGAGTGTGTTTCAGAGTGTGTGTTTCAGAGTGTGTGTTAGAGTGTGTGTTAAAGTGTGTTTCAGAGTGTGTGTTAAAGTGTGTGTTAAAGTGTGTTTCAGAGTGTGTGTTAAAGTGTGTTTCAGAGTGTGTGTAAAAGTGTGTTTCAGAGTGTGTGTTAAAGTGTGTGTTAAAGTGTGTTTCAGAGTGTGTG